ATCTCTTTGTGTTTGGCAACTGAATTCCATACTTGAATGAATAATTTAAACACTCCAAGGATAGAAAAATATATATACATATATATGTGTGGGTGTATAAATTTGTAAAAGACCTTGGTATTTTAAATTAATCGATTTTAATATAATTTCATTCTAGTTATCTACTGCAGAAAATATAAAGAACTTTAAAATAATATTCCTCACCATAGAATTACCATAATAAGCAACTTGTTCCGGTAAAAAAGTACTAAAATGACTTGGCTGAGGTGATGAAAGGCAGATAAAAGAGCATTGTTTTATTAACTTAGGTGTCTATACACTGGGTTACATCATTTCTCACAATTAGCTCACTGCAACAAATATAAAAATTAGATGCAGTATTCAGGAATGTCTGTTTAACCTAAATTGTTGTTATTAATAAACTTAACTTTAAAAATCCATATGCTCTATCACTTATTAGGAATTTACAAATGAAATATGATCCATTTTCTGAATTATTAGACATGTAATGAGCTTTTTGACACAACTGATTGCAAAACAAAATTAACACAATATAATATTAAACTAAAAAGGTCACTGCAAGAGATGAACATGATTTTTATAAAATACTAACTATAGAAACTATGAAATTTGAAGATAGTACCACAGAACCAAACATATCAATATAAATGTATTGACTTGTGTTTTAGTCGACCTTTTGATGTTTACGGAAGCGTTCTAACAAAGCACTCATAATGTTTCCTGGTATTCTTTGGTGCCTATCGATCAAAGCTTGAACAGCAATCTTTGTCTATGGAGAAAACAAAAGAAAAGTAATTATTCTTTTAGTTCTCACTACAGAAGTCCTAAGGAGCTCTGGTAGCATAGTGGTTACAAATTGGGTTGTGAACCTCAGGGTCAGCAGTTCAAAACTACCAGCTGTTCTGCAGGAGAAAGATGAAGCTTTCTGCTCTTGTAAAGATTTACAGCCTCGGAAACCCTGTGCAGAGTTGCTATGAGTCGGAACCGACTCCACGGCACATAACAACAACAACAACAGAAGTCTTGGTGTGGCGCTGTGGGTTAATGCGCCAGACTGCAAAGTTGTTTGAATCGCAAGGTCAGCGGTTCAAGCTCACCAGACACTCCTTGGAAACCCTATACATGGTCACTATGGGTCGGAATCAACTCGACGGCACTTAACAATAACAACAGATTATTTATTTTGTAAAGATTTCTATACATTACTTTCAAGAAGTATTCCTCTCCTTAATTAAACACCTCCCTCCCTCCCCTCTGCCAAACTGAATGGAAATCCGTAACACTAGCTGTGAGATGGAATCTCCAGATAATGCAAATGGGTTATGTGACCAGCTGCTAATCAAAACGTTGGCAGTTAGAAATCACCTAGTAACATAGTGGGGTAAACATTGGGCTACTAACCCCAAGGTGAGCAGTTCAAAACCATCAGCTGTTACACGGAAGGAAGATGAGACTGACTGCTCCTGTAAAATTTACAAACTCAGAAATGCTATGAAGTAGTTCTACTCTGTACTACATGGGACTGTGAGTTGGAATTGACTCAGTAGCAAGGCTTAGAGGCACTTCAGGAAAGCCAGCTGCTTTACAGAAGAAAGATGTGGCAGTCTGCTTCGCAAAGAGTTACAGCCTTGGGAACCCTATAGGACAATTCTTCTGTGTTCTATAGGGTTACTATGAGTTAGAATTGACTTGATCGCAAAGGGTTTGGTTAGAGGCATTTCAGAAGAAAGTCCTAGCATTCTATTTCCAAAAAAATCAGTCACTGAAAATCTTATGTGGAGCACAGTTCTCTGCTGACACACATGGAATTACAACAAGTCAGAGTTCACTCAATTGGCAACTGGGTTTTCTCCCCCTCAAATTCCTTCAGTGTACCCACAGTGCATCATTCATACTGATTTTATTATGCCTTGAATTAGTCACTGCCCAACATGGATATTTTCCACACCAAACTGTAAGGTCCTGAAGACAGAAACATCTTGGGGAGGATCCAAGATGACAAATTAGACACATATACCATCCATACCCTCTACAACAAAGACCTGCGAAACCAAGTGAGACAGAAACTGATACCAGCTGTTAGGAAACCCAAAATTTCAAAGGAAAGGATGAAACTGTAGATTTAGGTAACAACTCAAAAGACTGAACATAAACAATGAACACAGATGCATACAGAGCAGTGACTTGCCAACCACCACAATGTGGCCATTTTGAATTACTGCAAGCAGTGTTCCAGTTGGGACAAAAACTAGTCAACTATTTCCGTTTGCCCAAGACTGCATTTGCATCCACAATAATCGGCAAACAGAGAGGTGTGATTCACCCCACTTATCTCATATAACCTCATGGTGACCAGGGATGAAGCCTGCCCCCAGCCCCTTTACTATTGCTTTGCTGATTGTTTTTTCTCTTCTTTTTTCTTCCCTTTTCCAACGCCACCCCTAATTTTTCTTTATTATTATCTCTTCCCTAGCCCTACTCCCCCTTATTTTGATCCTAAGTAGTAGGCACCCAGAGTCCTGGTGTGGCGCTGTGGGCTAATGCGTAGACTGCAAAGTCATTTGAACTGCAAGGTCAGTGGTTCAAGCTCACCAGCTGCTCCTTGGGAACTCTATACAGGGTCGCTATGTGTTGGAATCGACTCGATGGCACCTAACAACAGTGGGCCCCCCTTTCTGCTCTACCTCCATGGTCAGCAGCACCTGGATCCAACTCTCCCTAGCCTCAGTGCATTCTGCTGACACGTGAGTGCCACATTCCCCTGCAGTCATGTTTCCTGGCTTGCATTTTTGCCAATACTGTGCCTTTTCTCCCCTTTTTCTTTCTTCTTAATTCTTCTTTTTCACCTCCCTCTTGTTTTTTCGTTATTTGATATGCAGCGTGGGTCCCTTCCCCTCCCTTCAACCCTGCCTCTGTGGTTAGCAGCACCAATCCCTGCTCCTCCATGGATAGTGATGCATGCTCCCAAGGAGGCAGCTCCAAATCCCCACCATTGTCATGTTTGCACCAACACTATGCCACTTTTTCCTCCCTTCTATTTTTTTCTTCTTAGTTCTTCCCTCGACCCTCAATGTTTTTTTTTCTTTATTTTGTCCCCATTCTTTTTTTAATGTCATAGAATAGGTGCTTTGCTGCCTGCCACCTACACATCCAGAAGTAAGCTCCCCTGTCCTTCTATGCCCGGCAGTGTGTACTCCCACAGAGTGAACATCACATTCCCAATGCAGTTGCTTTTGGTAGGTAACACTTACATCAGCACTATTGTCTTTTTTTTT